AGGGGCTACTTCCTCAAAAAAATCTAGGCACAAACGATAGACCTTTCATGTGCCAGCTTCCCTAAACCCTAAGCCCTAAACCCTAAACCCCAGCCCAGAACCCCAAAACCCCAGATGACCCTCAGGACCCCTCCCGGGGCTTCGCCTTTGCGCCAAACAGCCGCAACACCATCCCCATGTCTGGCCGGCCTTGTTGACCTGCGGGTTTTAGGGGTTAGGGTTTAGGGATTAGGGTTTAGGGTTTCGGGTTTACTTATATATTGGGTCTTCTCAACGGGACCCTAGTTTGAAGGAGCCCATGTGGGGCTTAACTGGCGGAGTACGAGGACCCTAGGATCTTTGATCCGAGCCTGCGCGCGACCACAGAGCTCACATGGCCTCACCCTTTCGGGTGTTTAGGGTTCGGTTTTTTGCGCGAGCCCCAACCCCCTCCCCCCCAAAAAACTAAGCAAATACAAAATAAATAAACATATAAATAAAGAAGAAAATACACAAAGAAAAACATAATCGTACAGAATCTACCAACGAAAAGTACTAATATCAAAATGCAAACATCGTAAAGTCCCAAACCTCGGAACCCTGAAGCCCCAAACCCCGCCTTAACCCTCAGCCCTAAACAACCAAAAGCCCCAACCCTGAACCCTAAACGCCCAACCCCAAACCCCCAAACTTTGAACCCTTAAACAACCCTAAACCTCAACCCCTGAACCCCAAACCTTGGGGTTTCTCAACGCCCTCGGGCCAGGACCATGAAGCCTTGTGTTCAGCCTCCCGCGCCGGCTGGGGACCTGCAGGGCGAGAGGTTAAGGTTTTCGGTACCTTTTTGGGGTTTAGGGTTTGGGGTTTAGGGTTTGGGGTTTGGGGTTTAGGGTTTAGGGTTCGGGGTTACCCGCAACCCTAAATACCCTCACCCTAAACCCTTTGTTTTGGGGGTTGAGCTTCTGGGTGTAGTGGCGCCCCAGGGTGGTTGGGATTCGGTAGAGTCCCTTTTGGTATGAGCATGATGTTTGTTTTTTTGGAAGTTTGGGACAACTGTGCTGTTTCGGGGTGTTCGAGCTCAGGTCGATGGGTTGGGATGTACCCCCTTATGCTAACAGCTCCTTCGAGGCTGACTTCCACTGAGATGCAGAGGAAGAGGGTTTAAGTTTGCCCACGTGCATGCAACTCCATGTCGCGTGACCGAGTCCCCTACATATGTGCAAACATATATATATATATATATGCAAAAATATATCTAGACACGAAGAATAATTGAATAAATGTAGGAATAAATATGAATACAAATAAATACATATAAACATAAATATTAATATATATGTATACATATAAATTATAAATTGTAAATTTTAACTATAAATATAACTATAAATATAAATATAACTATAAATATAAATATAAATACAAAATTTGAAAAACAAATATAAATATAAATATAAATCAATAAATGTATATATATATATATACATATAGCTTATACAAGTCTTGAAAGGACACATACCTGGCAAGGATCCTCCCAGTGCCTCCCGAGGCGAACATCGCGCGATCGGCGGCTACGACGCCGCAGCAGCTCACACCTCCGGGCGTGGCCCTCAGCTTTGGCAGCTGAACTCCCCCCAAACCCTAACCCTAAACCTCTCCTCGTCGCACTAAACCTGCAGAAGCATCCTCGGACCTGCTGCCACGTACTTAGGCCTCCAGGTTAACTCGTGAGATTGTGCCAGCATGTAGGGTCCTGATTATGGGTTTAGGTTGTGGGGGTGTAGGATCGTTCCTAGCTCCCTGCCGGAACTACCTATTGGGGGCCCGATTTTGGGCCTGGCTGGGGTCCCTAAACCCCATAAGCCCCATAACCCCATAGCCCCGTAACCCTAGACCCTAAACCCTAGGTAGGTATAGGATGTGAGAATGAGGGTCGAAACGTGTTCCTCGGTGTCGGGAGGGTTGTTGGCCCGTCACCCTTTCTGTTTTGGGGTTTGGGGTTGAGGGTTGGATCTTGGGATGCTTTATGTAGGGCAGGTAGGTTTGGAGGGTTGCCTCGAACGCTGGATATGTGTGGCAAAATCCACGCCCAGGCCCACATCCACAAGTACCTGAAGCTTAAGGGTTTGGGTTGGGATTTTGCCCCCCTATACAACAGTCCTCAATAGGGATTATAACAGGGGGGGGGTACCGTCTCCCTATTAGGGAGCTGATAGTATACGGGGGAACATCCCAAGTTTGGGGTTTAGAGTCTAGGGCTTCTTTTTCAAGGAGGCCGTGCGCGCTGTGTGCCGCACACCTTGGCCCAATAAAGGTTTAGGGCTGAGGGTTTAGGGTTTAGGGTTTAGGGTTTAGGGCTGAGGGTTTAGGGTTTGGGGGTTTGGGGTTTGGGGGTCCCTGAACCCTTGGGGCACTCATAGGATTCTACCTCGGACCCCTAAGGTTGTACCCTTGGGTTTGGGGACCCTGTCTAAAGATTCTCTAAGGTAGTATAATGCAAAACGTTACGTGTATACACGGGGCGAGAATTCTACTATTCGGCGGGCCATTGGGCTGATATGTCCAAACAAAGCTATGTAAGGGGGTCGGGTGAGAATAATAATGGGGTGACATTAAAACACAAAAGGCTGGCCATAAGTCTAAAATCTACTGCAGGTTGCTGAAGAGTTCCATTGCAGAGAAGTGTTTTCATCCGAGCTGGCCAGAGCCAGCTCCAGAAGCTTCGGCTTGGGTTTTAGAGAAGCAGATCTCGTTTGAGATATGCTGCAGCTCCAGATAGAACTCCCTTAAGCTTAAGACTTCAGCCTTCGGGTCCTGGGTTTCTGGAAGTCACCAGAGATCTCAAAGCAGCGGTTTTCTTGCTTAAATCCTTATCCGCCGGGGTTCGAACACAAATCCGGAAAGGGTACCCCTTACGGGCCTCCGCGGTGACAATAACAAAGTGGTGCCAATGATAATCTCAGAGCCCGGGGGCCTCGGGAAGTCTCAAGTTCGACACAGTTGGCCGCTGGTCAAGCACCAGAGGCTCGGCAGCTTCATAGCCGCAGTATAAATATGAAACAATCTCTCTAAAGACTTAAGAGAAAATTCCAGCCTTCAGGTAGGCTCCCTCTTTTTTACCACCCTCAAAACCCCGGAAGCCAAAACAAGCTCCATAAGCGTAACCCTGACATTAGGGGCCCTTCATGGGGTATGCATGATCGGTCATTGGCAGACTCCTCAGGCCCGAACCAGGCGCAAATCTACGGGGCAGGGGCGCCCGGAGTGCATCGGAGTGCTCGGGGATTTTGAGGGCTTCTGAGGGTTGAAGCTTTATAGGGTTTAGGGCTTATGAGGGTCAAGGTTTAGGGTCAAGACTTGTTTGGGGTGTAGGGGTACGAGGCGTTTAGGGCTTACAGGGTTTGAGGTTTGTAGGGTTGGGGACGGTAAGGGTTCAGTGCTTCTAGGGCCTACTATAGGAATTGTGTGGAAATTACTAGTGTTTGGGGCTTGCACGTTGACATGTTCTCTCGGTCATCATCAGCTGGGCCTTCTTAGCCGTGAGGCCACCTTCCGCTCCACCAGCCCCCATGGAGGACCTGGTGGTAAAGTCTGACACAGCTTCCGCAGCACAAGTTTGGAAAGCATGCTTCGGCAAGACCGGAGACTTCACAGTGATTGTGGAGGATGTCGCTGATGCTGGCAGCCAGTCCACCAAGTTCAAGGTGTGGCGGTTCCTGCTTGTCGAATGGTCTCCGGTCTTCTCCCGGATGCTCAAGTCCGACACGTACAAGGAAGGTCAGACTGCGGAGATTGCAATCGATGACTTCTCGGCCACTGCGGTTGAAATCCTCCTTCGCTTCCTCTACTCTGGTGAGGTGGAGGGCTGCCCAACAATGCTCATCGAGGTAGCTGCGCTGGCAGACAAGTATGAGATAGACCGACTGCACGCGCTGTGCGTAGAGGCGGTCCGGGAGTCTCTGACATGTACGACAGCTTGCGCAATCCTTGCATGCGCGGATCGATTCCACTTGGAGTCCCTGCGCTGGGCTTCGCTGCGCTTCATCTTTGCCCACCCTTCCGAGGCTCTGAGTTCCTTTCCAACCCTTACTGCAGAACAGCTGGAAATGATCCTGAAATCGGACCAGCTGTGCATCAAGAATCCGGAGCTTCTGCACTTGCTTGAGAGTTGGGGGTCTTCACTCGAGCAAAGCAGCCCCTTGAAATCCATCATTGAAACTCACAAGCAGGGTGTGACGGCGCGCAAACCATGTGCGGACAGCGACAATGTGCTCGCTGCACTGTGGCAGCATCATCGTACGGGCAATTCAGAAGTGCCTTTTCTTGGCTACTGGGTCGTGCCCATTCTGGGGCCCGGCCAGAAACAGATGGACACAGAAATGATGGTCAAGGGCGGTGTGGTAACTTATAGCAAAGGCTGGGTGACGTGGATGCTTCCCCACTCCTACGTTTGGCCGCAGGGCTTCTCTTTTGGCTTAGACATTACGCAAGAAGTGTCAGTGCAGGTGCTTTGTTCAGAAGACGGGGTGGCCTGGCACCTCGCAGCTGAATCACACCATCAAACAATCTCCAAAAACAAAGTGCTGGCCCGTAGGGGACGCCCGCAACGCACAAAATGGCTTAAGCTGCAAGTGGTGGATGGGGAGTTCAAGAATGACTTTCGCATTCATGGTATCTTCCAGCTTGTGATCGAAGTTGATTGAAGAACCTGTCCGCTAATGCTGCCCAGTGTTCTGCTCAATCTGCGCTAATGGAACTATAAACATTGCGAGAGCACTTCATGCAAAAGTCCGCAACGGCTTGCACTTGCACTCGACAGCTTGAGGGCCTGCGTGGCGACAGCTCAAGCAGCCACAACAAGCGGAGAACATGTTATTGTTACGAATGTTTCTGCCCATGCATGCTATGGTACATTGTATATGTTGTCTGTCAACATGTCTATATGCATATCTGGAAATTCATATGTGTGTGTATACACATATACATATATATATATGTGCAAATGTACACATCAGCCGCCCAAGGCCTCATGATGCTCACCCGCTCGTTTATACGTGCCAGGGCGGCTGGTGGCTGGCCTGTGCAGCTGATGCTCATGATGCTCACGGGCCGTTGGCACGTAAGCCCAGCGGGCGAGCATCATGAGCATTAGCTGCCTTGGGCTTTTGAAAGCCCCATGGTGGGCGAGCAACATGAGCATCAGCTGGCCCAGGCCCAGGCCTTGGCATTTGAAGGGCGTGAAAGAACACCGAAAGCATCAGCCGCTCAAGCCCTTGGCACGTGCAAGTGCCAGTGGGCGAGCATCATGAGCATCAGTCGTCCAAGCTCGGCACGCAGGGCCCCAATGGGCGAGCATCATGAGCGTCAGCTGCAGGGCCTGCCTTTTTTGTTTGCGTGACTTTTTGTTGTTTTCCTTAAGCTATGTTTTGAGGTTCCGGGCTCAGGGGGTTAGTGTTCACGTTGCATGAGAAGTTCTTCGTACAGAGTCTCTACAACGATACCTTCCTTGCCTAGTTGTCATTTATGCAGGAACTGGCACCGGTTCAACTTTGAAACTGACACCCTAACCCTAAACCCCGTGCTTGCACCATTGCAGGGGGTACACGCGCGCGGACGGTCCACGTCGCCTGCCTACAACGCAGGACGCAGAGCTGAGTTCATTCAGGGCAGAGCAGAGTTTGGGTTCCATGAGCGCAGCTGCGACTCTGTGGATCATATTGCGATGTTTTGCGTCGGCTTCTCTTCTTTGCAGGGCATGTGTCTTATGCTTGGCCTGGACACTTGTTGGCCATACCATGTCGTCACCGTCGTGATGGGGTTTCTTGAGGTGAGTTGTCTTCTGCTAGGCTTGCGGCTTCGTGGTGCGATGGTTGGTAGAAGTTCTGGTTTCAGTAGGAATGTCGGTGTGGGTTGGTTAGTCGGATAGCACACGAAGGTTCACGCGCATAGGACGATAAAGCAATAGGGCAATCAGGACCACGCGAGAGAATGATAAGTGGTGCCTGACATATCTCTTCCTGCGAGAGATATTCAAATCAGTCTCATGGGCAGAAAATACATGTGGGGGTTTACGACAATAAGGGGCCCCCAACAATATTTGCCCCCAAATAGTAGGATTTCCTTCTAAAAGGCCCCCAGTAAGGTACCCTTAGTTTCGGAAACCCCCATGTCTTTGGTCGACGGATCTTTCTTCCACATGAGGGCCGCCAAGACCTGGATCACTCCCGCGGGAAGGCCTCATATGGGTTGGTGGTCTCTTGAAGTAGGATCTAGGCTATGTTGAGGTGTAAGGGTAACAGAGGTATTGGCCTTCATAGAATAGGCCTGTCCTGCCAGGCCCCCCTGGATTTGTCCAAGCAGCCATGAGGCCGATGTGCTTTGCTCTTGCGGTGTTCCTAAACCCTACGCCCTGAACCCCTAACCCTAAACCGAGGGGGTTCAGGAACCCTAGACCCTGAGCAACAACTCAAAGGGAAGAGGGAGGGGTGGGAAGGGGTGGCTTGCAGGGGCCCAACATAACGACAGGACTGTTGGGTTTGGGGTTTAGAGTTGAGGGTAGCGGCATTATTCCGATTTTGCTTCCGTAAAACCGTTAAAGAAGTATAGGGCCCCGCGGCATACAGGTTATTGACTCCCAAACACCTCAAACCATGCTGGCCGGTACAGGTTCAGGGTTCACTGTAGGGTTTCGGGTTTAGGGAAAGGAGCCAATAGAATGCCTTCAATAGGAAACGGGTATAAGGTGCCGAACTCCCCAATACCCTACGAAGAGCTACTAAGTGAAGGGCCGCTTTGTTTGGGTTTCAGGAGAAGCACAGATATCATCAACCCTAAAAACCCTCATTAAACCCCCAGCCCCGAAACCCCTGAAGCCCTAAACCCATCTACACCCCCAAAACCCACCCTAAACCCTAACCCTCTAAACGCTAAACCCTGAACTCAAGGCCTAGGCCGCCCCGGCGCAAGTCGACCCAGCTCGTTCGCCCGTCTCCCACAGCTCGGTAGCACCGGCACCGGAGCACTTCTCCTCGGGACCAGTACGGGCCTGGGAGCCCTTGGAACCCCTGAGACCTGGGACCTCCAAGAAAAGACCTGGACCCTCGAAACCTTCTAAGAACCTTCTGGACCCTCCAAACCCTCTCAGAAGCTCTCACCTTGCCCCTCTGAAAAACCCTTGGTTGGCTGAATCGTGTCTTATTGGAAGTAAGCAGTTGTTCTGAGTTTAGGCCTAAACCCTAAAAGGAACAGGTTAGGGTGGCTTGGCCGCCTTGAACGGCGTGGGGTGGAAAAGGTGCTAGATGGCCTTCCACAATCGGGCCAGAGCTGTTCGCATCTGACGAGGCTTTCGAGCCTCTGCCCTCTGCTGCATCCTACCCTTCACAGCATCGACGCCATATCACAGCAAACCCTAAACCCTAAACCCCAAACCCTAAACCCTAAACCCTAAACCCTAAACCCTAAACCCTAAGCCCTGGCCATGGGGCCCTGAGGCACCCTCAGCCGGTGATCTATCGGCGGTAGCAGCCGCGGGGATGGAGGCTGGCTCCAGGAGTTTAAAGGGGCCCTTTAGGGTTTAGGGTGAGGGTTCGGCTCCAGGAGGTTAGGGGCTAAGGTTTGGGGTTTTGGGGTTTAGGGTTTAGGGTTGAGGGTTCACGGTTTTGGGGCTTAAGGGTTTCGGAGTTTGGAACCCTAAACCTTATAACTCCCAAACCCGAAACCTCGAGCCCGGACAGGCCCCACGGAGTGACCGGGCAGCTCGACACGGGCAGTTTCCGAGCCTCCGGGCCTTTCATCTAAGGGCACAGTATGGGCCGCTGGCATGGGATCTTTTCCTTTTCGGGGTTTCGTTTATCCTGAAGGTTCAGAGTTTGAGGTTTGGGATAGGGTAGATCATCATCTACCTGGAGGTTCATAAGTTGTGAGACATACACGTAGGGCACGTACGGTTCTAGCCATATGTAGGGGACTTATACGTCAACGCCCTACTCAGAAGTACCGATGAAAGCTTCAGAGTAGGTACATAAAGGGCCTCAAACTACCAAAGGGTCCATGTCAGGGGCCCATACTTCTCACCCTAGAGATGTGGCTTCGCCATCGGCTTGACAAAGATCATGCGGTGGAGGATGGCGCTCTTTTCCAGGGGCCGTCTGCGGGAAGGTTGTAATACCTTACACTTGTGAGACGCCGTGACTTACCTGAGAGTCGTGTTTCGGAGATGCCGCACGGGATGCGTCTGTGGCCCCACGGCAGCTACGGTTTTTGCTTCGATGTTGGCTCTCCGGGGCCCAATCAGCCTCACGATTCGTGGGAATCGGGCGCCTGACTCTTTCTCCCCTTGTAATAACCTGGCAAGGGACTATGGAAAGTATACCAAGTTCCCTAACCCGTAATTCAGGACCCGCAAATTTCGTGACTAGGAAGGGAGCAGCTGTAGGGCTATTGCGCCGGTGTGTGCTGTGTGGTATGGCAGTGCGGGACAGGAGAGGTTTTAGGAACAAACAAGCCCCACAACCCACTGCGCCCCTTGGCCCTCTTGGGTTTGGTTATGCAGAGGTTCACGGGTACTTAGACGTAGATGTTAGAAGTAGGGTAACTATGGCTAGAGGCCTTATATGGTGTAGTTAGAATGTCCTTCTCTAGTCGCACAAGCCCATGAACCTCGAAGCCAGGGTTAAGGGGCGGAGGATCCATGTTGCGGGGCTTCAGCGCTGTTTAGCTTAGAGCCCATCTCCCTTTCTTGTCGGCCCCCTGTCTTTCCGCGCCTTACCGTGAACCCTAAGAAACCTAAGTTCCAGTTGAGTCGAACGGTTCCCTTTCCCACCTAGAAGAAACGTCCGTTCCGACCTAGCTGCCTCGTCTGCGTTGCCTGCACATGACATTTGCCGTCCTGTTCTTGGTTGTTAGGGTTTATGGGCACAGTACTCTTCTTCCCCTTTTTTGGGGCTTCGGATACCTTCGAAACATACTTACCCCAAAAGAGGTTGACCTGTTTTCCTTAGTGTCCTGGGGAACTTGGAAGGTTTAACCCGAATCATAACAAACCTTGGAGCGCCAACCCCCCCCCCCCACCAGCTCCTATCAAGGTTTCGGGATGGCGGCGTGTGGCATCGCAGTTCGTGGGAAACTTTTAATGTGGGCTCAGGCGCCAGGAGCCATTGAATGTCTCGCCTGAGCCCTAAACCCACTCCCTAGGCCCGAAGCCCCCCAACCCTGAACCCCAAGCCCTAAAACCATCAAACCTTTGAGCCCAAGCCCCAACCAACTTTAGATAAAAGCTCAAACCCCACAATGAACCCCTTGAGCCCAATTACCCCTTGAGCCCAATTACCCCTTGAGCCCGAAACCCTAAACCCTAAACCCGAAACCCGAAACCCGAAACCGCACCTCCCAAGAGCGTAGGAGCCTATACGAGCCCCCGATCTCCCAACTCCAAAGCGGAGGGTCTGGGTTTCACTGGATTTTTGGTTTTCCTTTAAGTACTGGTTTAGGGTTTAGGGTTTAGGGTTTAGGGTATAGCAACGCTGTGAACCCTACCGTAGCATAGTGAGTTCGCTCAGTGTGGGATTGTATTGTTTACGCTTGAGAGTTTTCAGCCAGGAGGGGCTGCCATACAGGCTGGTGAACCCTACATTCTAAACGCCGTAATCCACCTTAAGCCCTAAACCCTACACCCCCTAAACCACTTTAATACATTGTGGCTTTGAGGGGAAGCCAAATCCCCCTCAATGAGCGGAGAGCCATGGTTCCTGGGTTTCGACCTAGATCGCATCCTCAGCGTAGAAAACGAAGGCAGAACGGAGCGTTGGTGTTGAGGGTTCAGGTTTCAGCAAGGGTTTGTGCAATTGTTCGGTTCTGGTGTGTGGCGCCCGAGGGGGGTGGGGGGGGAAGTTTCGGGTTGGGGGAGTTTAGGGTTGGGGGGAGTGTAAGGTTGAGGACACGTTGTGTAAGTTTGTCGGAGTTGCTGCGCAAATTCGGAACTTTGCTTAAGTAGAAATCCGTTCAATGCATCCGTTGTGTAAAAAGTGCGAAAATCCACCGATCATGTCGATATCATCAACGTTTAGAGTTGAGGGTTCCTGGCTCGTACTGAGCCACGGTACCATAGTTGTAGCGATTTGGGTCTTGGGGCCAGTTCCATGGTCCCTTATTATGGTCCCTTAGCTCCTTCAAAGGGCTCCGAAGCATGGGCCCTTGGGTTGTATAGGGTAGAAAGGGTATAAGGGCCCCCTGTGTAAGGGGCCATATTTAAGGGACCGTGAAAATGCCCTTGGACTTTCGGTTTGGGGGGGGGGGGGGGGGGGGGTGGGGGCGCAAGAAGTTCCTGCCTTTTTTTGCATGGGCCCGTCGCAGTGGCATTGTTCACCAGATGGGTGCTTCAAGGGACTACGGACCATAGGTTGGGGGACCCCTAAGCCCTAACCTAAACCCTAATGCTTACCTTTTTTGTAGTTTGGGGTTGAGGCATGCGGTTGCGACGAGCTGCTCTCCGCAGCGTTTGCATCAGTAGGCCTGGATGCCACACTGCAAGAGGTAGCGACATCGAATTCAAGTCATCATATACGAGTAAACATTGGTGCGACATATCAGAAGATTCTATCCTCACATGTAATCATACAATAATTATAGTTAGGCCCGACGCCCAGGACAACGCCGTTCCACCTCAACCCTCAGCCTGCCAGCCCTACTCATTGTTCAGTAAGGTTACAAATGCCCTAAATAAGGTGAGAACCTACTCATAACCTCACTTCTACGTAACCATGAGCCTCCACCATGGTGTTTGATCGGCATGGCTCAGCCCCCGAAACCCCCAAAACCACTCAACCAGAAACTCGGGGCGCAGTAAGCACAGCGCTCTCTTGATCCCCGGCGAGAGCACAAAGCTCATGCCGGACTTGGCTAGGACGGTTGAGGGTTTAGGGTTTAGGGTTTAGGGTTAGGGTTTAAGGGTTTAGGTTTGGGTAGCGCTTGGCATGTCCCCGAGATGCTTGCGGATTGTTTCTACCCTCTACCCTAAACCCTAAACCCGCTTACATGGCACAATGAGGACCCCTGCGTCGCTTGAGACCTTTTCCCGGAAGCCTCGCAGTGCGTTGCCAGCCCTCTGGTCCTTCCCAACTCCCAACATCACATGGCCATCGGGTTAGGGCTTAGGGTTTAGGTTTAGGGTAGGGTTTAGGGTTTAGGTTTAGGGTTTTAGGGTTTTAGGGTTTAGGGTTAGGGTTTAGGGTTTAGGTTTAGGTTTTGGGCCATCGTCTGGAGTAGACAGTCGATAGGGCTTAGGGTTGCGATTCTGAAAGACTGTTGAGATACAGGGGTTGGAGGAACGCTCTGAATTACCCTAAGCACTATCGACCCTAAGCCGAATGTCTTACAACCCTACCCTTAACCCTAAACTCCTCAGAGCCTCAAGCCCTAAACCCTTAAGCTCCCCAAGCCCTTAACCCCAACCTCAAACCCGAAAACTCCTAAACCCCTAATTAAGCCCTAAACCCTAACTCCTAAACCCCAAACGCAGGAGTCACCATGTTCAAAGGAAGGAGCCTTGTCGCCCTGGCCGGGCTCTTGGCTCGCGCCTGAGTCGTTGTTTGACTTTGATTCTCTTGGGTTTAGGGTTTAACGTTTAGGGTACGTAACCCTGAACCCTAACCCTAAACCCTAAACCCTAAACCCTAAACCCTAAAACCCCTTTCCAAGGGGTGCTTCGACGTTTTTTGTTCCAGGTCCCTGCCCTCCGTGTTTGTTCATATTGAGTTTAACGAGTTTATGTGCTTCCTGGCAACTCACAGTCTTACAAGGAGGGGTGCCCTTACTTATTTTGGAACTATAGTTCAGGGACTTCTACCCCAAGAGAGGATCCTTAGAGCCCATTTCGGGCCCTTTTAAGCCCTTCTTGAAGGGCTGAGTGCTTTCAATTTCAAACGGGGCACGCTCCTCGTCAGCTCTACACCCTCTAGGCCCTTTATTTGCTGGGTCGCCTGAATGTGCCATCTGGGCTCCCTTGCGAAGTTTGCTTGTTGCTGGGCCTTTGTGTGTGGAGTCTGGCTCGGGCGGGGTTCAGCAGGGATAAGGTGGCCTTTTTCCCGTGGTTTTAAGGGTTTCGGAACCCCCCCCCCCCCCCCCCGAGCAAAGGACCGAGTTCGCCGCCACCGCTGTCGGTCGCTTGGGTGGTCGGCGGCTAGTGTATAGTGCGAGAGCATCCGTCGGTCGTTGGCGGGGTTCGGACCCCGCAGCAGAAGACAGAGTACGCAGCCGCCGGCGTCGGTCATTGGGGGGGGTCACGGGGACCCCAGCAAACGACAATGTCTCTCCTAGGCTGCCCGTCCTATCTTTTGGGCGTGCAGCGCCGGACAAGAAGATGAGCTCACTCAGTTTAGCATCGCCATCCTAAAAAAGCACAAAACATGGCGACCTTTCTGGTCTTTGGCCACTCAGGACCCAGTCTAGGGTTTAGGGTTTTTGATCCTGAGCCTTAGAAAATCTTAGAACACGCCTAAACCTTATAGACCCTAAGCCCAACCTGT